CTCTTCCTTGCCACAATCTCGATCAATGTAAGTGCTGACCAAGTGTTTTCACAGGTACTCTAAAGCTCTCAAATAACGAGATTGAGACATTCACTTCATTTGCAAGCGATAGAACATTTGGTGGGCAAGGCTGGTTTTTTAGCTGGCACTAGACTCGCTACTCCTAAGATACAAAACTTAAGAAGTGCTCACATTTTCTAATCATTACATCATATCCTGTAAATAATCAAGATGAACATAGAACAATTGCCTTCCGATATACTTATTTATTTATTTTAGGTATTTATTTATTCATTTATATTAAATACTGCGATCTGTTCCCAGATTTTAGCGGGGCGGCTATACATAAAAAATACAAACAAATAAATTGCATGCTTTTTTCAAACATTTGTTAGCATTCAAAAGGAAAAAAAACACTGGTAACAAAAAATGAAATAACACAAAGAAATTCATAACATATTCAGATGCTTTTGAAACATGGCTAAAGGCTTTTGAGAAACTACATTGGCATTAAGATTATTCCAGTCCGTTATAGTCTGGAAAAAAAAAAAGAATATTTAAAACAGTTAATCCTTGTGGTAAAGGAAACTATGGTTAAAGCATGCCTTTGCCTTGTTTCATAACCTGTTGAGAAAGAAAAATAATTTAATGTGTTGGTGTTATAATGGCCGTTTACGAGCTAATATGAAAATTTGAATCGGCAGACACGGTTGCTCTCTGTCAGGGGGGGGTAGTTCACTGCGTTTAATTAGCTCAGTCACAGATGTGCAGCAATAGGAAATAAAAATAAATTGAAATACTTTATGCAGTACACGTTCAGGTTTTTTTACCATTCGTTGAAGTGAATAGGTTCCAGATAATCACTGAATATTCCAACAACGGTCGAATGTATTTCCACGTTCCGTTTCTCAAGTTTTGTTATCGCCCCAAAACACCACACAATTCTCAGCGCAAAACGCGCGTGCAGTTTTCGAGAAGCTTCCGGACTTTAGTAGATCATTTCGGTAAGGTCACGCCCACTCTTCAAACTGTACAGATTATTCTGGAACCTACGCCACAGCCAGCGATAACACTAGAACATTGGATGGCAAGAGTATAAATGCCGACACACTTCTATGGAGCAGCAGTATGGAGCAGTAGTAGCAGCAGTATGGAGCAGCAGTATTCTCATACATTAGCAGTTTACAGTTTTGCGAGTTCAGACGAAAAAGAGTTAATTGCAGCCTAAATTCATTATCGCGATGCGAGCTCCTATCGCACGATGTAAAATGTGAAGTTGAGGAAGGGTTTTCTGACCATAATGCTGTTTAAGTTACCTCAAACACAGCGTGTTCTTCTCAAAGACCTGAGATCGAAACTTCTTTTCTATTCTGCTCTTAATGTTCTATTTTGCCATATTTGCACAAAGCTTTTGCAACCGTGCTCATTCACGCATTTTGTTATAATAAGTGTATACAACCTGTACTGCCTCCATTTAAAATGTCTCCATTACATGAGTGTCCATATATATATGTGTAACAAAAGTGAGTCATTGCGACCATTCCATGTATTCTGTCGCCACCACTACCTCTGCCTGATGTAATTGGGAGTCGGGAACTTAGTAAATTGCCACTTTTTTTCCCCACTCCCTTCATGAACATTGTATTCATGGGAATGAAATTATTATTGTTATTATTATTTTTACTGTTGAAATTTCTTAAAGGTGATGGCACTTTTGTACTGACACTTCAGCATCATATTTAGGGAAACTTGAATGTTGTATTGAATTTTGTTATGTAGATGCACTCCTTTTTAAGTTTCGTGATAATCCCTTTCAAAGTTGTGCCACACAAGTATGTTAAATCGAACCGCAGACATCCATGTTATCATAAAGATATAATCCAGCTCACTTGTTGCATGTAGCGCTAACGTGAGAATCGTCATTATAAGTTTACTAATGATGTTTTTTGAGTTAATGCATTGCCCCACCACGGTGGTCTAGTGGCTAAGGTACTCGGCTGCTGAACCGCAGGTGGTGGGACCAAATCCCGGCTGCCGCGGCTGCATTTCCGACAAAGGCGGAAATGTTGTAGGCCCGTGTGCTCAGATGTGGGTGTCCGTTAAAAAACCCCAGGTGATCAACATTTCCGGAGCCCTCCACTACGGCATCTCTCATAATCATATGGTGGTTTTGGGATGTTAAACTTCATATATCAATCAATCAGTTAATGGGTTGAAAAGTTAATAGAACCTAAATTCAAAAGGCTAACAACTACTAACTTAGCGATGCCTGTGCTACACTTATGAAAAAAAAAGAAATCCATCCAAGTTCTAGAGGTCGATTACTCCTGCATCGCCTATTACCTCATTGTTTATTCTTGATGGCCAATCCTCCTCCAGTTTGAAAGCTATGGCAAATACCTTCAATAATTTCTTCAAATCTTTTTTTTTTCTACTGCTAACGTCATCACTACTTCATTTTCTGCATGCATCACACTACTTGCTCTTTCTAATCTTGAATTGAGCTCATCTGAAGTGCATAACCTAATAGTAATATTAGGTTATGCACTATTAGGTTATGTAAGTTATGATACACTCTCGCCCAGATGGTATGCCAAACATATTTTTAAAGTCGTACTCAGTATGGTGTGCTAATTTTTTACTGCAACATTTAAAAAAGTAAATCTCTGCAACAGTTACTCAACTGCGAAAATTAGTAAACGTCATGCCCTGAAGTCTGGAAACAAGCAAATACCAAATTATAGGCCAATATCTTTGCTTTCTATAGCAGCTCCCCACTTTTGGACTATATGTTCAACAAATACTATATAAACCCCAAACACACACAACCTATATTCCTGACGGCTACACAGTTGCTTGAATTTACGTTCAGTACTTTTGCTTCTCTTAACGACCGAAGACAGATTTATGCCATATTTATTGTCTATTCTAAGGACTTTGACATGGTTTGCCATGCCAATCTTTTACCTTCCCTATTTTGGCGACGACAAGCTGGTTGATTGGATAACAAATCACTTGCGATCGCGCTCAAAATTTGTTACCATGCACAGTCATCTGACGAACAGATCACGTTAGGGGTGCCTGGAGGCTCAGAGCTGGGGCTGCTTTTATTCAATATTTTTATGGGGACCAGCGGAGATTATCAGTCACACCCAAATAAACTTGAAATGTATGCAGACGACTGTGTTATATGTAAAATCATCTCTAATACTCAAGATCAGGATGCCCTGATTACTGTTTTTTTCGTCGTTTTGTAACAGGAGTGAAACATGGCAATCGCCTACTAGTTACTGTGAAAATCCCATAGTCACGGCATTTTCAAATAGGAAATGGCCTCTTCATTTTGCTTATACTAATGATGGTGTAAGTCTAGTACGTTTCGCAGAGTGTAAATACATTGGTGTAACTCTTCCAACAAATTTAAAACGACACAGTATTTCGAAGCAGTACAATGCCTTCGAAAACATTTGCAACTCCGACACACAGTAAGCAACTAGAGGAAAGGATGCAGACTGATAGCACATAAAATTTTGGCCATACTCAAATAAGCGTTGGAGTTCGGTGACCTGACCACAGACATGACATAACTATGTAAGAATCTGTTGAAAAGCAATACTGATCATCTTTCGTCGCTTTGGCAAGTGTTTGTCCTTAATGCGCGTGCACATGTTTTATCGCCGCAGCCCCTGTCGAACATCAGCGCCTTTGCAATCGTGTCATCCTCCTACATAAATAAGGTGGTTCGCAGTAGTTCTAGTGTTCTCACCCCTATGTTCTTTGTTGCATCTTCTGCACACCTTACCAGGTGATTTGATTCTACAAATGTTGGGCTTGTTAGATCGATTAAGAATTGCTTTTGTATTTTTTCTTTGTTGTTTGCTTTTCTGCAGAACATGTATTTTCGGATGAGCTTCATGGGTATACTTGCGCCCACTTGGTTTTGAGCAATCCGGAAAAAAAAAAAAAAAATTGTGTGAAAATCATTATCATCATCATCAGCCTGACTACACCCACTGCAGGGCAAAGGCCTCTCCCGTCATCCGCCAATCAACCCGGTCTTGTGCTTTCTGCTGCCACGTTATACCTGCGAACTTTTTAATCTTATCGGCCCACCTAATTTTCTGTCTCCTCTCACCCACGTGCCTTCTCTGGGAATCCAGTCAGTTACCCTTATGGACCAGCGGTTATCATGCCTACGTGCCCGGCCCATGTCAATTTTTTTTCCTTTATTTGAACTATGATATTCTTAGCCCCAGTTTGTTACCTGATCCACTCCGCTCTCGTCTCGTCTCTTAAGGTTACACCTATGATTTTACTTTCTATCGCTCACTGCGTCATCTTTAATTTAAGCTGAACCCTCCTTGTAAATCTCCAGGTTTCCACCATAGGTGACGACCGGCAAGGTGCAACTGTTATATACCTTTCTCTTGAGGGTTAGAGGCAGATAGCCATTTAACATGTATTTATAGTTAAACATGTATTTTGTTAATTTGTATTTTTGAAGGTAATAAGCATTTGTATTTACCCCTGCTACGTCTCGAAAACTGAAAGAGCAGTTATGTAAATAAATAACATTGGCATGCTGCTGTCACTTCAAAAGCTTGACCTTTCAAGGAAACAGATTTTTTTTTTTCAAAATTAGAAGAACAAGTTGCTATCCTCACCAACTCTTAAATCTTGAGCCCGCCCGCGCTGCGCCGCCGATACGATGAACCCCGCGGTGTTGGCACGCCGCCATTGAAGGTGGAAACACCAACACCCCGTTGCCGACAATTTCGGTACCGGCGCACAGGTCTAGGCTCAGGCTGGTCCTCCAAGTCGTAGTGATTACCAAAGCGAGTCTTCTATAGTGCTGTATTTGACATAAGCTCCTTTATCATAGAATGGTGGCTGAGCCATAATACTTACAAGAAGCGTACACACTACTACCACTTGTGTTTTCATGTCTTTCTTGTGTGCATGCTACAGTGTAAATGTCCTTTTCTTTGTTGTGCACGCAGAATGTCCAGCGACAGAACGAAGTCCAGCGAAAGGGAGCTGCTCAGGTTTTGTTGGTTGCAACCAAGCATTTTGGGGCGTCCCTGCCCAACCAGCTGCCCAGCCTCTGGGAGGCTACAATGGATCCACTACTCCAGAGGGCCAACATGGTTTTTTCAGGTGGCACTTGGGTTTTGGCTTGATTAGGTGCTATCGATTTCGTAGATTCTTTTAATTTAGCGAGGCCTCTAACTACAGATTTTCTCTCTCACTTTAATGTAAATGCCGGCCTTAGTAATCTGCACGCCATTCAAATAAATCTAAGGGCCCAGCTATTTAATTCATGTGCCAAACATTTAATGCAAGCGCCAACATATTTAATCTAAGCGCCAACTCAGTGAGGCCGCGTGCCAGTGAGTTTAATCCGAGTGCCACCGTGTTTATTCCAGTTGCCAATGACTTCAATTCAGGCGCTAGTCAGTTTAATCCATTCACTAGAAACACATAGTTAGCCACTTTATATAGGATAAATGTCAGAATAATGTAAACATAACAACACAGGAAGAACTTTTCCCTCGTCTGTACATGGTAGCACAAATGAAATGAAGTGCACAGTACTACATCCCCTGAACGTTTTGGTGTCATAGCTTCAAAATAAAAAAGTGAGTGCATTTATGGGTACTTAAATGTATTTGCTCGTAAAGTCCATGTTAGTCTTTATTTCATCGCTACTGGATCATTCCGGCTAACCATGTACACCATCGCATACGCATAGATTCGTATCGTCTGCTCGGCAGACGGCATTTGGCTGCTTATTCGCTGAGGCTATCGCAGTCGTCTGCTCAGCCCAGTGAGAACAGTGATCGACAGATAATATTCATTTATTCTTAAAATCAGATATAACCACTTAAAAGTACTAAACTTGCATTTATTCGGGTTCATGTGGAACGAAGTTGTTATAAAAGCATCAAAAAAGATACTCCGGTTTTCATGTAACAGACAACGCTTAGTGTAGCTGAAGCATGTTTGCTTGAAACACGTCTTTTCATACGGGCACATTTGCAGACGAAGAGAGAGCTTTGCTTGAAGTCATGGCTGGACGCAAACGAGGACCACACTTTAAGAATCCCGGCGAACCTCGTCGAAAAAACATCAGAGTACCAGTGGTCGACAAGGCTAGGATCGTGGATGTCTACAGGCGTTGTGGTGACTTAAAGCAACTGGTCGACGCTCTAGGCATTAACATTAAAACAGCAAGATCGATTGCCGCTACCGACAGAGAAACATCGAAGCATGGTGGGGGTTCAAAAAGGAAGTTTGCAGATGACCCGTGAGTACTTTGAGACGAATTGTCGACGAAAATTTTTAAAGCAAATAAAAACATTAAAGCAAATAAAGGAGGCCCTGGAGGAAGAAATGCCATGAGTAACAATCAGGGCAAGCACAGTCGATCGCTTGCTGGATGCCCACTGCGACTCGATGAAGCTAGTGATGCGGAGGCCTACAGATCCCAACCGTGATGATATCAAGCACAGCCACATGCTGTACGCCCAATGGCTGCAGTCTGATGGACCGCGTGTTTGCCACTTTTACTTGGATGGGACTAACTTCAATATCTGGTGTTCCAGGAACTTCGGCATGGCAGCTAAAGGAGAACCAGCTGATCACATGACCACAATGACAAAGGGAGCAAACGAACATTATAGCATGCATGTCCGCAAATGGAGTTATTCGCTGGGCTGTGGTGGACAAAGTTCATTGGGTTGTTTTTAATGATTTCCTCAGCGATGTTTTGGCCCGCGTAGAATGTGATGAGCCAAATATCGAAGCTGTATTCATTTTTGATAATGCATCTGCTCGCACTCGAGCAGAACAGGCGGCTTTGGCTAACTCCCTGCACTCTATTAAGTGCCTGCCAGTGTACAGTCCCTTCTTTAACCCTATAGAAGAAGCCTTCTCGAAATTCAAGTCGCACGTGAAGGCCTACCTGAGTGAACGTCGTAATTTAGTTTTAGTGACACCGCAAGGCATGACGAAAAAGGAGCACAGGCGTTCCTTACTGCTGGATGCGGGTCACCACTCTATCAAACAAATACAGCGCGTGGACCTGCGCGGCCTTTGATCGGCACAATTTCTCTTTCGTGCCTGCCTCTTTGAGTGAAGATAACCTGTGAACGTTTGTCTCTGAGCCCTATGAGACAGTTCTGTTTTAATGAATTCATTCACCTGTGGCTATGTTGCATTTCTTGAATAATTAGTATTAAGCACTCTTGCTTTCCTTTCATATATATATATATATATATGTGTGTGTGTGTGTGTGTGTGTGTGTGTGTGTGTGTGTGTGTGTGTGTGTGTGTGTGTGTGTGTGTGTGTGTGTGTGACGCTATGAAGAATGGGCGACGTGGCCTGGCACATACCCCATGTTTATTCTACTCTGACTTCTTCCTTCTCTGCCTCTACCAACTATCGCTTCATACGTCACACGATTCCCCCTCCCTTGAAAGATGGCACTGGTTACAAAATACAACAAATTAAAGAAGTGAACGAACAAAACAATGCCCAAATTCACAGTTTCACACCCAGACGGAGTTCCACAATCTAACTAAATCATCAAGGCCGATTGAGCAGTCCGATGAATTTTATGACAACTCTGGTGGGCTAGGTTGACTATTGCGTTTTGGCCAACAGAAGCACGCCTTGAACGTAGAAATTACTGATGACACAGCAATTCTTGTCATGAATGAACAAGGGTCGAAGTACTTGTAGCATTTGAGAGTCGGATGTCGTAGGCACGAAGTTCTCCGTCGTAGACGCTGCTTTCTGTGTCGTGGCTGAGACAGAACGAGTGCTTGCAGCCTGCATGTGCGAGAACCGAAGCTGATGGTATGATGCCTTTGTTCCTTCATTGTACACGTGGTAGCTGCACGTCTCTTTCTTAGCTTTCTGTGGTCTTCTCTCAGTTTGTTGAATGGTAGACACGGCGTTGAGAACTGGTGCAGGAAACTTTGTCGACGTTGCTTTCTGCGAAGATGGCTTAGGCATCGACTTCGTCTTTGCTTCTTTAATTGATGTTGTCTCTGATGATCTTGCGGCCACAAGTGTACTCGTGAGGAGGTTTCACTTGATCGTTGTTCTTGTTCGAGTAGCCGTTGCAGTTCTTGGAGTTCATGGAGTTGCCTTTGCTGAAATTGCTCGTCTTCTTGTGAAAGTTCGTCAGATGGGCCTCTTTCAGGAACATGAGTCTGCTTTTCTTTAGATGGTGATGTGATCAGTAGATTGTCGGTAGTCGACACTGTATTGCTAGGCTTGTCCTGCGATGAAAGCAGCGTGACAGGCTGATGAGAACGCTCCCAAGATGGTTGTGAGTCATCCTTGATTGTAAATGCTTCTGTCAGTTGACAATGCGCCGGCGTTGGTGGATTCGAAATTCCTGCAGTGCTTTGACTCACATGTGTGTTGTCACTTGACGATGAGAGCACAACAGACATGGCTTCAGGTGGTTCTGATGGCGTATGTTTTTTTTTTTTGCAGCGTAGTTAGGCTGACAATGTCTCTCGAACGACCCTGGTCGGGAACGTCAGGGTGGGGGCTGGTATTGCGAGGATTCACCAGCTCGTCACACGTAAATTCCGTCACACACTCGAAACCGTTTGGCCCTTGTGTGTGACACAATACATCAAGGCATTTGGGTGGTTCTGTAAAATCTGAAGTGTTGTGGTGCAGTGAACACGTTGAAAATGCCGATTTCATTGCTCTTGAGAAAGGCGGGCTTAGGTTCAGTTTTTTGGCGAAATTTTCTAGATTCCTTTCGGTATACGGACGCTTTACCTTGTCTGTTGCGACGTGCACGTGACCAGTCCGTGTTCGAATGCGTGACGTTTTTTCGGAAGAGTCACATGATGGTACAATGGTGGTATATTTTCTCTGAGATCTCGTTTGGAAAACAGGCTTACTGCGGGAAGACTTGGCGTAACTGTGATGGGTCAGTTGAAAAGCCTTCCGCTGATGAGGTATGAACAGGTCTTCATCGTATTCTTTGAAACGGGTAATCATCTCTTCCCAGATCTTTTGCCATGATTTGTCGTTTTCGAATATGTGTGTGAGATAAAACTTGAATGCCTCACCAGAGACGTAGTCGGTAAAGTTGGTGACCATCTCCCGTTCCGACCATGATGCAGCGGTTGCGTGGTGCTCGAACAGGTCGAACCAGTCCTGTACAGGTCCATCGTCCGCTGCTCCGGTGTACTTGGGAATGGGAAGGTCATCTGATGCTGCTGTCATGATGCTTGGTGGTCTTGGTGGTCCGCGTTCTTCTGTGGTCCGCGTTCGGTCACTGCGTCTCGCTGAGGTCTTCGATGATGATGGCCGGGCGAGGAAGTGGTTGCGAGGTCTTCATCCTGTCGACTCGTGTGACTCTATGAAGAATGGGTGACGTGGCCTGGCGCATACCCCATGTTTATTCTACTCTGACTTCTTCCTTCTCTGCCTCTACCAACTATCACTTCATACGTCACATATATATTATATATATTGTGAAGAAGAAAACGCATCATTGGCAAGCAACATCGCCACCGCTTGGGTACTGGGTGCTGGGCTGCTCTCGCTCGGCTCGTGCTGGTCATCGCCGGCATCTGCTTGACCGTTGCTCTTGCCCGATCGTGTTTCATCGTAGGACTACCGTCGCAACAGTTGCCAATAAACGCTTTTTTAATTGGTGGAGGGTGCTGACATTCCCCGTCGCCTGAACCTGGGTGCTGCCATTCGCCGTCGCCTAAACCTGGAGCTGCGCAACCGAACGCTACCTCCCATCATGGCTACCAACAACGCGCAACCTGGCTCTTCCACTCCATCCCCCAGCAACCCCGGCGTTCTTCGTTTGTGAGAGCCCAAAGTCTTTAGCGGAGCTGATGAGACCGACGTAGAAGACTGGTTCGCTAACTACGAACTGGTAAGCGCAAAAAACAAGTGGGATGACGCGGACAAACTGACTAACGTCATCTTTTACCTCACTGACGTGGTCGAAATGTGGTATAACAACCACAAAAACGACATTACGACGTGGTCCATCTTCAAAACGTTGTTTGCTGACGTTTTCGGCCGACCTGCTGTCCGCAAGTCCAGAGCCGAACAACGCTTGCGGACTCGCGTACAGAAGCCATCTGAATCGTTCACCAGTTACA